GGGCCTCTTCCCAGAGAGTGGATTATGTATTTGCCAATGTAAGTGTGTTCTTTGGATCTATGGCCAAATTACTGAAAGTTTTGCTATTTCGTCATTTCCAAATGTACCACAATATCCATGCAAAGTGATGATTTTCCATTTTGGGAATGATCTGCCAAAATAAATGAACCATATTTGCAAAGAAAGACCCCGTAGGGAAACTTACCAGGTTCAAAGGAATCTTTGACAATGCTCAAACCTGGCGTACTGATGGACATTCAAAGAAGACATGGTTAACTTATTTTTCTTCAGCTTCACATCTATCACAACATAGATCCCCATGTATCCCTCTTGCGTGGAGATTTTTCATGACAACAATACAACCTGATAGCAGTTGCCAGTGGGATAGACTTGTTTAGTTCATTAATTTCATCAAACATAGTATTTTTTAAAATGCAAGANGCGTACTGATGGACATTCAAAGAAGACATGGTTAACTTATTTTTCTTCAGCTTCACATCTATCACAACATAGATCCCCATGTATCCCTCTTGCGTGGAGATTTTTCATGACAACAATACAACCTGATAGCAGTTGCCAGTGGGATAGACTTGTTTAGTTCATTAATTTCATCAAACATAGTATTTTTTAAAATGCAAGATAATCTTTCAGTGAAAATTTTATATGACCGCAATTTTGTTTTATATAAAGTAGACATGTGCATAAAATCCATAACTCGACATCTAAACTCAATCTAAAAAAAAAAAATTGGATCCGTAACCGGTCAAAAATCTAGAATATATCAGAATGAGTTTTGTAGGGTGGTATAAAATATATCAGAATCAAAGTGTTATTAGCCAAAACCGAACGAATAACCAAAAATACCTGAAAAAAAATCTGAATCGATCAGAATGTCTAAATTAATCATAAATATAAATATTTGAAACATAAATATCTAGTTTAAATATTCAGTTATATATTTATTTTAAAATCATATTTAAAACTAATTATCTAAATTTTAATAAGTACTTTAATATCCAATTCTATAAAAATAAGTATCCTTTTGTTTTGGTTTTAGATTTTAGATTTCCAAACCAATATAACCCGAATCCAAATGATATATGGTTGCTTTATCAGTTTTAGGATGTGTACAAATTAGAACCAAACTCGACGTGCTATATCTGAATCTGATCCATATTTAAAAACATGCCTACTTACAAATTAGGACACCTAAGATGTGATATAAAACTGCTTTGATTCAAAATATTCGACCCGTATCCCAATGGGTATTTGAACTCCCAAGCATAACTTAATGATGTTTTATATTTTGTGAAATTAATTTTATATTTGATAAATATTTTGTCTGTTTATTGGAATAACCCATAAGATTATAATCATAAAAATATCAATAAAAACATGTTTCATCATATAATTAAATATTAATAGTAGTTATTATTAGTATTTATTTTATAATAAAATTATATATATATAAACAATTTTAAGACTTTATCAACGATAATTATATTATTATGTATTTGGCGGAGGTTTGAAAAATTTGTTTATTATTATTTCGTGTATCAGTTATATATAATCAAATATAATTTTTTATATCCTAATGTTTTAATTTATATATGTATATTAAAATATATATTATTTATTTTTTAAATATCTTATGGTAGTGTTTTGTTATTATGTAAATGTAATTCATTTAGTTTATAATTTACAAAAAATACAATTAAGTTATTGTATAATTATTATTTAGTATAATTGGTAACTACAAATATGAAAGATTATATATAAATATTATCAGAAGGTTATTTCTTATTCTATAAATCATAATGAGTTAATATTCATTTGTAATTTAATTTAATATTATTTTACGTTTTAGTATTAAAATAATATTAAAAAATAAATATTTATTTTTAAAATAAAAATATATTAAAGATACTGTTAAAATGTAATCTGAAAAAGTAGTTAAGGGTATTTTTGATATCTTATTTTTGAATATATTTAAAGATTATATTAATATTATATGTTTATTTAATCATAACTAAGTTTGTTGTATGAAACATAACATAAAATTAAATAAATGTAATATTTTAACCTAGATTACTTGCAAGTAGATAAAATATGCTTCTGTTTTAATAGTATTGACTAGATTTTGATCTGCGCGGTTGCGCGGAATTATTTATAATTTATGTTTTTGAATTATACTTAGCGGTTGCACATAATTATTTATAATTTATTTTTTTGAATTAGATTTAAATGATTGATGATATTTTTTAAACTTTGGTTCGTGTTAGATTGTATTATTGAATTTTGGTTTGATTTTGGTTGGCATGTGAATTATTTTTTCGGTTCATAAAATATATTAATTGTTTGGTTATTATGAATTGGGATTTGGTTTACGTTTTGTTATTTTTGTTTTTAGTTTGAAATATTTCTCAGAAACTATATGAAATTTTAACTAATTTAATTAGAATATATTTCAATATCTTTATTTTTTATTTGAAATACAAATGAATATTTTTAAAAAAATTCTAAAAAACCTTTGAAATGTTTTCCAAAATTGTATTAAATTTTATTTTTGAAAACTGATTAATTAAATTACTAATCATAAATATAATTATAGCTTATATTTAATGATAATAAAACTGATTAATGTTTTTAGACATAAAAAATAGGAGCATTTGTTATTGAAAGTAAATTATGAGGATTTCGAAAAAGATCTCATATTTTAATTGTATATATATTCTAGTGTGATATGAATAAGTACAAAATTTAAATAACAACATTTATAAGTAGATAAAAAATAAGACTATATTTTAATAGAATAGACTAGAATACGACCCATGCCATGCGCGGTTAAGTTTCACTTTAATAATTTAGACATAATTTGTTTGTATGATAAACTGGTGTTTAACATTGTAGTTCGTTATATAGTTTTTTGTTCCTGTTGTTTTGTATTTTTTGTTTTACAATACATTGTGTTATGTTTCTAGTGTTACACTATAGAAGGTCGATTTTAGGATGATTTTTGTTATATTTCTTGGGACTTCAATTTTTTACTTTATATGTTATATAAATTATTTAGATATAATATATTTTCTCAACAATAGAGTTGGTTTGTTTAATATTTGTATTTTATATGGTGTATATTTTTGATATATTAGATGTTTTTAACACCATAGATTAGATGTTCGTACAATATTATAGGATTGGGCAAAAAATCTGAACATAAAAAACCAGACCGAATCGAATCCGAAAAATAATTATTGAACTCGAACTAAAATTGATTAAATAGCCAAACGGGGTCAAAAATTTTGTATCTAGAGAACCGAAACAAAAACCAATCCGAACCGCTATATTTCGGGTATCCAAATCAGATTTATATACTTGAATATATTAGCTATTTTTAGATTTAATATCTCAAAATGTATCTAAAGTGAATAAGATATTTTGAATTTGTAAAAAATATTTGAAAATATGTACAAATAGTCAAACGTAAATATCTAAATTCTCTAAACAATACTCAAACACACAAAAATACTTTAAATATCTATTGATTCTTCATCCAAATATTCAAGATAAACCAATTTTAATGTTAACTTTAGGTATTTTGGTATACATTACTCAAATTTATATGTTATATATCATTTTTGTTTTTAGATTTTTTAAAAAGTTAAAGTATATATGAATTTAAAAATAATTTAAACGGGTTATCCGAACCCGAATCGAACCCGTAGTGATCTGAACCGAATCCGAAGCAAAATTTATAAATACCCAAATAGGGTTGAAATCTTTAATTCCAAAAAACCAAAACCCGAATGAATACGAACCGGACTCGAATAGGTATCCTAACTCCCATCCCTATACAATAGTTTAGTGTTTTGATATGTAAAATTAATTTTGATATTAATTTTCCTAGATGAAGGATTTAATTATTGTTAAATTTTATATTACTGTAGATAAAATAATTATATTACAAAACGTAAAATATATTCAGTGTAACACAAATTATTTAATGATTTTATTTTTGTTACAATATAAAATGGAAATAATTTTGTTAATAGTATATATATTTTACCCAGAAAATAAAGTATATCGTTGTATGATAAAGCCCAAAATAAATAGTACCATCGCATATTACCATTTTTTGTTTGTATGGTATATTATTATTTTTTTGTTAGAGTAAAGGAGACTACAATTTATGTTTCTAGATTAGTATATTTTGTTAGTTATTTGTACATAACTTTCGAGTAGGATTAGTTATTGTATTGAAAATAAAATCTAGTAACAAATCAAATGAATATTCTTTAGCCATAAAGGCCGAGTTAGTTAATTGTCCACACTCACTGATATATTTCAAGATCGTAAGATTTTGAAAGATTATTTTTTCTTGTTTTGAAATATTTATCAAATATAAAGTTATTTTTAACTTTGAAAATTTAAAATAGAAAAATTAATTTTTATATATTTAACCAAATTTATGTCTAAAGAATATTTGGTTTAAGATCAATGTTTGATATTATGATTCCTTTAAAAAAACGTAAGTAAACAAATATGGTCTATATTATGATGGTTTCCAATGGTTAGTATGATGAAAACAATATGGTATTTGATTTCAATGGAATATGGCGTGTGGTCATAATTGATTATGTTAGGTGGTAAACTACATGTCATAAAATGAGGAGAAACATTCATAATAGTATATGGTAAGGGGAATTTGTTGACTGAAGAGAAGCATGTCTAGCAGTTTATATTAAGAAACATCAGTGAATGCATCGATTAATTTATTAAGATATGACTTTGTTATATTATGTTATTGTATTAGATAACCGAGTTGGTTAAATTTGTTTTGGTAATGTTTAGTGTCCGACCAGACGGCCATATATCGTAAATATATGAAACATGTATGTTTTTAGGGACAATTGCAAAAATACCATTTTTGTGATACCATAATTCAACTTTACCACCATTCAAGGGACATTTTCATAAATACCCAGAACAATTATCAATAAATGACACAATTACCCCAACCAGATCTATCGTCTAGCTCTTACCCTTCCCACATCTCCTCCATCACCATCGTCGTCTGCTCCGGCCACGCCACTGCTTCCGGCGGTTCCGACGACACAATTCACCTCTACGACCTCCCTTCCTCATCCTCCCTCGACTACCTCCTCGACCACAACCACACAGCTTCAATCACCGCCCTCTCCTTTTACACTCCCTCTTCCCTCTCAATCTCATCTCCGCCGCCGCCGATGGCTCTGTCGCGATCTTCCATCCCTATTTTCATGGAGCTCTATCAGAAGAGCATAATTTACGGAGTCTCATGGAAACCGCATTCCTCTTCTCTGTCTCTCTTTCTACCTCTGCTTTTCATTCTTTTTTTTTAGGTAATGTTTCCCCTTTCCTTTTTCCTCACCCAACATATTCACGATTAGGTTTTCAAAAACGTTTGTAAAGATGGCATTTTTATTTGAGACCTGGATCAATGATCTGATTGTGTGGCAGAGTTTTTTTATGATAGAATCAATTTCTGTGATTATTGTGTTGAATTTACTTTAAATTTGGTAGCTTTTGGATTGGTTTCAGATGTGTATCGTATTAGTTTCTCCTCATTGTTGAATTACTTTCTTATTGTTTTGTGGCATTGTTTATTTTGTGAATGCAAGACTGAGCTTTATTTATGTCTTGTTGTCAAGAAACCCAAATCGATGAGAAAACCCGTGAAGTTAAGGGCTAAGACGAGTTAGTAGCAGTGAAGGAGAAACTTCTATTTGTCTATTTGGTTTGAAGTTGATATCATATAAGTTAAATGTTATCCCAAATAGAATATTTTGAAAACCACGTTAACCTTTATTTCTAGATTTATATAATATCATCGTGTTAATGGAGGACAGTTTGTAAAGCCAAAAGAAATGTTGATTCCTTNTGCAAAGGTTATGAGATGCACATCAGATCCAGACTCTCTGTTTCATCATCTTCAATGGCTCTTGGGTGGATTATGATGGCTCTATGCTCAATGTCTAGTTGGCACCTGTTGAAGTCAAGAAGCCAAGTCTACCTCTTTTGTCACAACCAATCAACCTTTCAGATATTTTTCTGAATAGATCAAAACTGTTTGTTGGATTCTCTGCTGCAACAGGGAACGCTGTGAGTGATCACTATATTCTTTGGTGGAGTTTCAGCACAAGGAAAGGAGAATCATCACTGGACTTGACATCTCAAAACTTCCTCAAGTTCCTTGTCCTAAACCTCTTCCTACAGTTCATCCTAAAGCTCGGCATAAGATGCTACCTACATGGATTTATTGCTCTGGTTGTTTGTGTGGTGATTATGGTGTTGGCTGTTCTTGCAGGAGTTTATTTCCACAGGAGGAAGAAGTTTCAGAAGTTTCTGAAACATGGGAAAAGGAGTTTGATGCGCATCGGTTCTCTTACAAGTCTTTATACAAAGCAACAAAAGGGTTTAGTAAAGATGAGTTTCTAGGAAAAGGAGGTTTTGGTGAAGTCTATAGAGGAAACCTTCCTCAAGGGAGAAAGATAGCAGTGAAGAGAGTTCCCCACAATGGTGATGAAGGTGTGAAGCAGTTTGTGGCTGAGGTCGTGTCCATGAGATGTCTGAAACACATGAATCTTGTTCCGCTTTTCGATTACTGCAGGAGAAAGCCTGAGCTTCTTTTGGTCTCAGAGTACATGCCTAACGGTAGTCTCTGTTAGTTTTCTTTATAGAAGCATTAACTTGTATTACCACTCTCAGTGAACAAGCAAGTCAAAAGTTTAATTTTATTGGATGAAATTAGCAAATCTTAAAATCAATTTATAAACCTTTATGAATTAATTTATACACTCTTGTAAATTAAAATAAAATCTCTTATAAATTAGTTTATAAGATTTCATAAATCAGTTAATGAACCCTTATA